GGGGGGGGGGGGAGCAGGGCCAGAGCAGAGATCTTGAAGACCCTTGTCTTCCTTTGCACCCAGCTTTGCTCGTCTCTCAAATGCTTGTTACAGGAGGTGAAATGGCACTCCTCTTGACTTTTCCCTTGGTTCTGGCAGTTTCTCCAAAGAGAAAATACTATACAGCAGGTGGCAAATTCTTCTCCATTCCAAGAGAGGGGCTGAGCAACATCCGTGGGACTTAGAAGGGAGGCGACCAGGAATCAAGTTAGTGACTGAGGTAGAGAAAGGAAATTAGATTATTTCTTTGGAGGAGGTTGTTGACATGCGGCCCCACCTGAAGCCTGGTGAGAAGCACTCCCAGAAAACCACCCAGAGAAGCTTATTTACCTATTTAGGGTGACTTGGAATGTGGGAGGGGCAGGGTAGCTTGGTGACCGACATAAATGCCCAAGAAAACTGAAGTCAAGTCTGCTGTCAGTCTGAGGCAGCAGAGAGAGATAGAGACAGACAGGGAGACACATGCACACTTGGAGATAGACAGAGAACCACAGAGGCAACCTCGGGCCACTTTAAACCTCAGCGAGGCAGTCTTTCTGGAAGGGAAGGTGACCCCAACTGGAAGTAAACGGCCAAGGTCACAGAGACTGAGAGGAAAAAGCTAAGCAGCCGCTGGGGCAAGCACTATGCCGGCCAATGTCCCTACAAGTGCCCAAGGAGGAGTCCCCGATGACATCCATGCAGCCCAGAGAGGCAGAGTGGAGGCCACAACCTGGTTACTCCAGTGCCGCCAAACGAGACCTTGTGTCTCCTGCCCTCCTGCCAGCACTGGAAGGGTCCGAAGCCAGGGCCATCAAGCCGGAAAGGAAAGGAGAGGGAGGAGTGCTCTCCTCACCACCTGTGCCTGCACCTGTGCACGTTGGGGCGGGGGGCACAGGCCATGCCTTGAGAGAGTTATTTCACTGTCTCAGTATGAGTGACCAAAGGAGACAGTGTGGGTGACTAAGGTGACCAGGGCCTGCAGCCCGCCCAGGAGCTACTCCAGGACTAGGGAAGACTTGGCCCCTGAGCAGGTTTGAACAGGCTGGGGCAGGGGCGGGGGAGATAGAGCCCTGTTCTGGTTGATGCCACCAGTCCTGCCCCTCCACGGTGCTGGCTCTGCACTCCTCACTCTGCTCAGAAAAAGTCCCCAGTTCTGCCCTCTCCCCTTCCTGTGTTCCTGTCATCCTGTCATCCTCGACCCTCACCTCCTTCCATCTGGTCTCAGCCCCAGCAGGAGATGCCCCATTAGCTGCTCACCCAGGCTGCTAGTGCCTTGGGCTAATGGCCCTGCCACCCCACCCTCCTCCCCCTTCCGGCTCACTGCCCATCCCAGGCACCCTCCCTCAGCCCAGCTCGGGGACTCCTGAGCCTCAGAGACATCTGGCCGCACTAAAAGGTGAGTCTTTCTTTCTGTGGCTCTTCTCTACACCAATGATTATTCCCCAGACTCCCAGAACCCCCTGCTTAGGGTGCCCTTGAAGCCAGCTAAAGTCATTTCCAGAGACACCATGGGACCTGGCTTCCCTTGGGCTCTCTGCTGGGGATCCCCTTTGCCCGCCGTTTGCCACAATCTCCGCCCTACCCAAACCCCAACTTCTTCTTCCCTTGGCTAGGGGTTGCCGCCAACCTTCCGCTGCTGGACAGGTGGTCCACTGTGGGGGAGCAGCTACTTCTCTTTCCAGGGAACTGGGGGCAGGGGAGTGAAAGCAGAAGTCTTAACTAAAAGAAGCACATACTGTGGGATCCAACTCTGAATTCTCTCTCTCCCCCTTCTCTCCCCAGGGTCAGAATGTAAGTAGCCTTCGCTCTTCTGGGACCTGCTGGCTTCGCTTCTATCTCCTGTTCATTCGCGACCACACTCCGTTTTAAGAGGTGATACAGTGGAAAGAAAGCAGAGGACTGAGGGCTGGCGGTCTCACTTCTAATCCAGGCTCCCCTGCTAACTGGCTGCCACCCCCCTCTGTGGGCCTCTGTCTCCAGATGGCTTCTAATGTCCTGGGGTGACTCCAAGAGCTCCCCTCCTCAGGCCTGAGATCTAAGGGCAGGAGCCAATTAGGCCACGGGGCCCCATGGACCTGCCCCCGCAGCTCTCCTTCGCCCTCTATGTGGCCGCCTTTGCCCTGGGCTTCCCACTCAATGCCCTGGCCGTGGGGGGCGCCGTGGCCCACGCCCGGCTCCGCCTCACCCCCAGCCTAGTCTATGCCCTCCACCTGGGCTGCTCGGACCTGCTGCTGGCTGCCTCCCTTCCGCTGAAGGCGGTGGAGGCCCTGGCCTCCGGGGCCTGGCCTCTGCCGGCCCCGCTCTGCCCTGCCTTTGCCCTGGCCCACTTTGCTCCGCTCTATGCGGGCGGCGGCTTCCTGGCTGCCCTGAGTGTTGGTCGCTACCTAGGAGCCGCCTTCCCTTTGGGCTACCAAGCCGCCAGGAGGCCCTGCTATTCCTGGGGCGTGTGTGTGGCCATATGGGCCCTTGTCCTCTGTCACCTGGGGCTGGTCTTTGGGTTGGAGGCTCCGGGAGGCTGGATGGACAATTCCACCAGCTCCCTGGGCATCAACACCCCGGTCAACGGCTCTCCAGTCTGCCTGGAGGCCTGGGACCCGGCCTCAGCGGGCCCTGCTCGCCTCAGCCTCTCTCTCCTGCTCTTCTTCCTGCCCCTGGCTGTCACAGCTTTCTGCTACGTGGGCTGCCTCCGGGCCCTGGCCAGCTCGGGCCTGAGTCACAGACGGAAGCTAAGGGCAGCCTGGGTGGCCGGCGGGGCACTGCTCACACTGCTGCTCTGCTTGGGACCCTACAATGCCTCCAATGTGGCTGGCTTCTTGCACCCCGACATGGGAGGCCGCTGGAGGAAGCTGGGGCTCCTCACAGGTGCTTGGAGCGTGGTGCTCAACCCATTGGTGACCGGCTACTTGGGAGGGGGGGGTGGCCGGGGGCCATCATGTGTGGCAAGAATGAAAGCGGGTACATCTCAGAAGTAGTAGCCACTGCTGGGGAGAAGGGAGGTGCAGCAGAACCCAGCTGCTTCTCTAGGCCGCTGGTGGGGGCCACGCCAAAGGAACTGCAGGGTGGCCTAGCCTGGGGGCACCCCTGGAGCCACTCATGGGAAGAGCCGAGCCTGACAAGATTGCATGCCAGTCCGGGAGGAGAATGGAGACCAGGAGCCACGTCGCACGAGCAAGGTAAGGGTGCCTCTGCACAAACAGCGCGACCCCCACAGCTGCCCCCCCTTCCCTTGCCTTTCCTGCGTGCCTGCCAGGTGCTCGGGGCAGAGGCCCTTTCCTAGGGGGGAAGGAGGAGGGAAGCTCGCTTCCCATCTAGAGGACCTGCCACTCTGATGATACACTTTGGGAGATGCGACTCCAGAGTCCTTTCCTAGAAAACAACAAGTTCATTTCTGAATGAGACGGGAAGCAGGAAGCGAAGGGTGACACTGTGATAGCGCTGGAAACGCACAAGGGGGCAGCACGGGAGCCGTGAACGCGAAGCTGGGAGGAGGGATGCTTCGCACCGGGAGGGAGATGCTGGCACCAGAAATAGTCGCAGACAGATACAGAGTCTTTAGTACTTGGCAGGCACCAGGCCAAGTGCTTTACAAGTGGGTCGCGTTTCATCCCCGCACAATCCTCTGATGTAGCCGCGCAGCTGCGGCACAGGTGGCCAAGTGTTCACTGCCCGGGGGTGCCCGGCGGAGGGGCAAACACTGACTAAATTCTAGCCTGTGTTTTGCTCACCAAGCCAAGTGCCTGGCACAGGGGGGCCTCCGTCCAGGGGAAGCAGCGTCTTATCATTTGAACAGAAACAACGCCCACTCCTCCAGCAGCACCCCTTAGTGCACAGCAAGGCTGTGCTCGCCTGGAGGGGGCACCTTTTCCTAATCGGCACCAAGGTGCCGCAGGAGGTAGCTACAGTTCTGAAGCCGGTATCATCTTTATTTTTCAGGGCGAAGAAATTTTCCCAAGGCCCTACAGCAAGGAAGGGGTAGATGTGGGATGTGGTCTTTCAAGGCAGGACCCCAAGGGTCAGGGGACATTTGGAAAAGTTAAGGTATTGGGTTAATGCTTATCCTTGGGGTCCATTTTATGAAGGTGGATGGTGGCACCCTGAACCCCCAAGAAAGCGGGCAGAGGAGAGAGGCCACCGAGGAGACAGACACTTGGGCATCTGCTCTGACGAGGCCAGGTGTAGAAAGCAGATTTGTTCCTGATTGCAATGATGCCGTGAACATATAGAGCATCAAAAGTGGTAGCTACGTGCCCGGCATGTGTGAGCTGGTTTATACATGTTACCTCTTTCCATGCTTAAATGTGTACAAGGAATTTTGTTTCATTTTCTGATAATCCCCAGCACCTAGAAGAGAGCCTAGCACACAGTAGGCTCTCAGTAAATGTTTGCTGCATAACTGAATGCTCACAATAGCACTCCCAAGATAGTTTTATTATTTGTTTTGTAAATATGGAAACAGGACAGAGAAATTAAGTAACTTGCCGGAGGCTCTGCGGGAAGCAGAAACAAGTTTGTTCCCTGCACAGTGGTGAGACCAGAGAATTTCGGTAAAAGCTTAGGTGGCCCCACTGGCCCTCCCATAATGCCAGGGACTTTCTCTATCCCACTGCTCCAGAGCACTTGCTGCTGGGCCACTTATTCCGGTTACTTGTGCCTCTTCCCTGTAGCGGAGATTTCAGTTCCTCCCTGGGGCCGTGGGCCTTGCGTGATCCGCGCCCTAGGCCCTAAACCTTCTACCAGCTCCCCAGTAGGTCAAGCCTGTGCCCCCGCCATTCCTTCTGCCTGCATTGCTCCCTCCAGTGGTTCTCTGCCTCTGCGTTATCCTCCCACCACTCAACCGCCCACCTCCATTACCAAATGGAAGCTCCGCGACAGCAAAAACTTTGTTTTGTTCACTGCTTGTTTGAAATAATATTTACATGCCATAAAATTAACCCATTTTGTGTGTACAAGTGAATTATTTTTAGTAAATTTACTGAGGTGTGCAACTATTACTTTAATCTAATTTAGAACACTTTCATCACCCCAGTAAGATCCCTCAGGCTCACTAGTGAATCCCCCCCTCACCCCCCATTCCTCAGGCAACCAATAACCTACTTGCTGTCTCTATAAATCTGCCCATTCTGGATATTTTATATAAATGAAAACATACCATGCCTAGTCTTTTCTGCCTGGTTTGCTTGGCTTAGCATAATGTTTTTGAGGTTCATCCACTTTATAGTACACGTGGGTATTCCATTCCTTCTATCACCAGGTAGTGGTCCACTGTCTGGCATATGCCATGGATATGCCACCTGGTTTACCCATTCCGCTGGCTGATAGACCACCGAGCGAGGTTTCCATTTTCTTTGGCTATTACGACTAATGCTGTTTGAACATTTATGAGCGAGACTGTGTGGACACATGTTTTCATTTCTCTTAAGTAGCTACCTATAAAGGAATTGGTTCATGTGGTAAGTTTATGTTTGCTTTTTTAGGAAACTGTCACACTGCATGAAAGTGACCCTGCCATTTTGTGTGCTCAGCAGCAGCATGTGAGGATTCTCATTTTTTCACATCCTCGCCAACACTTGATATTATCTGATGTTTTTATGTATAGCTATTCCAGTGGCATCCAAATGAAATGCTATCTTGTTGTGTTCCATAACTATTTGAATGAATAAATAAATAATCTCTGAAGCTGGACAGGACTTGAGTTTGAATTCTGGTGGTGATTCTTAACAAGCCGTGTGGCCTGGAGCAAGTTCCTTCTGCACTGTGAGGCGCCAGGATTTCAACACATAATGATGACACCCCGAGACGCAGAGAATCCGCTAGAGACTATGTGTCTTGGTAGCTGCTGTCATCACTGCCACCATCATTTTATTATTATAGTCATTATTTAAAATATGTTTTTATTGATTTTTAGAGGGAGAGGAGAGGGATAGAGAGATAGCAACATCGATGAGAGAGAAACTTTATCAATTAGCTGCTTCCTGCACGCTCCCCACTGGGGATCGAGCCCGCAACCTAGGCATGTGCCCTGACCGGGAATCAAACCAGGGACCTCTTGGTTCCTGGGTCAGTGCTCAACAGCTGAGCCACGCTGGCTGGGCATTATTATTAATACTATTATTACCATCACCCCAAGCCCACACCAGTGACTGGGATGATGGCAACTAACATTCGTTAAGTGTTCATCATAACATGCCGGGCTCCCTTCTAAGCATCTGACATGCCTTCATGCTTTAATCTACACAATAACATGGGATTGGTCCTGGGATCATCTCTGTTTTAGATGAGAAAAGAGAGATTCGAAGAGTTTAAGTCACTTGCCCTGTATTGGAATAAATAAGTGACAGAGCCGCCATTGAACCCAGGCCACGCTCTCCATCGCTGCACCTCGCTTTCTGCCCGTACAAGGCAAGCTGGATGAGCGCTGTCCTAGAGGAGCAGGGAAACGCAAGAGGAGAATTGGGGAGGAAAGATGCAGTCTGTTCAGGCCTGGCTGGGGCATGCCGTCGGAGGCTGCCGGAGGAGCCAGGCCCACAGCTGTGGAATTTGCTCCCCGGTTTGCATACTGGACAGCTCCGCTCGCAGAGCTCAAGGCGTCTTTTGTGCTAGGGCTCAGCAATGAGTGACGTCACAGGATGAGCCAGGTCTTTATCAGTTCTGCCCTATTAATAGCCAACTGCACTTGTTCTGGGGGAGCCGGCCAGGTACCGAGCTGCAAAGCACTTGGTCTCAAATAAGCAGGTGAGCGCTGGCCCCCGGTGACTACGCGGAGGAGCCGCTTGGTGCTTGCTTTACGGGGGGAGGAACAGGAGACAGGTGGGGGAGAGCATCAGGGGGCGCGTGGAGTGGGGACCATGTTCTCTGTGGATTGTTGAGAGGCTGCCGGTGCAAGATCTCCACCCACAGGCTTTGTCTCTCCCTCTGTCTCACAATCTCTCTCGATCTCTCTCTCCCCACACACACACACACACACACACGATCTCTCACAGTCTCTCTCTCTCCAGTGGCCATCCCCATGGACGCGCTCCAGGACGACTCTTTCTTTCCGGGCAATCACTGGCTGTACTTCTCCGTGTACCTCTTCACCTTCCTCGTGGGGCTCCCCCTCAACCTCATGGCCCTGGTGGTCTTCGCCCGCAAGCTGCAGCGCCGCCCGGTGGCCGTGGACGTGCTGCTGCTCAACCTGACGGTCTCGGACGTGCTCCTGCTGCTCCTGCTGCCCTTCCGCATGGTGGAGGCGGCCAGCGGCATGCTCTGGCCGCTGCCCGTCTTCCTCTGCCCCTTCTCCAAATTCTTCTTCTTCACCACCGTCTACCTCACGTCCCTCTTCCTGGCGGCCGTGAGCGTCGAGCGCTTCCTGAGCGTGGCCCACCCGCTGTGGTACAAGACGCGGCCGCGGCTGCTGCAGGCCTGCCTGGTGAGCGCCGCCTGCTGGCTGCTGGCCGCGGCGCACTGCAGCGTGGTCTTCGTCACCGAGCTGGCGAGCAACTCGTCGCACAGCACCTGCTACCTGGAGTTCCACGAGGGGCAGCTGGCCGTGCTCCTGCCGGTGCGGCTGGAGATGGCTGTGGTCCTGTTCGGGGTGCCCCTGCTCATCACCAGCTGCTGCTACAGCCGCCTGCTCTACCTGCTCCGCGGGGGGCCCAGCCACCGGCGGAGGAGGGTGGCGGGGCTCGTGGCAGCCACCATGCTGAACTTCCTCGTCTGCTTTGGGCCCTACAACGTGTCCCATGTCGTGGGCTACCTCCAGGATAAAAGCCCAGTGTGGAGAAGCTACGTGCTGCTCCTCAGCACCCTGAATTCTTGCGTCGATCCCTTGGTTTACTACTACTCGTCCTCGGGGTTCCAGGCGGACTTCCGGAGGCTGCTGCAGAGGCTGGCTGGGGCCTGCAGGCCCTGCGGGCGGGACAGCTGCGGGAGCCGGACGGCTAAGAACAGAGAGGGCTCAGTTCAGGAGCTGTCCACCCTAGAGAACAGGTAGTGACCCTGGGAGGGCTGTGGAGCCGCGGCCAAGGGGCCTGAGCTGAAAGCCATCTCATCCACAGGGCAGCCCTAGCTCAGGTCAGGGACCTGGGAGTGGCGGAACGGGGACTGACGCAGCGGGACAGAGCAGGCACCCAGCCCTCCTGGGGACGGGCTCCCCAAAGCCCAGCTCTCCATCCCGCACACCGCCCTCCCTTCCCACCTCCCGACACGCTGTGCATTAGGCCCTGGGCGAGAGCGCTCCTGAGAAAAACGAGCCACCCATGGCAGCAGGCCAGCTCCTGTGCTTTTCGTTTCTTTTTTTTTTTTTCTTTTTTAAATATATCTTTATTGATTTCAGAGAGAGGAGAGGGGGAGAGAGAGAGAGAAACATCAATGATGAGAGGGTCATTGATCAGCTGCTTAGCCCGCAACCCGGGCATGTGCCCTGACCTGGAATCGAACCCCGATGGCCCGGATCCTAGGTCGACACTCAACCTCTGAGCTACCCCCGGCTGGGCTGTGCTTTTCTGAGTGTGAAAGAGGAGTTGAGAGCAGTGTCCAGGGTCCGAGGGAGCTGCCCAGTGACTCAGGATAGGATAGAAGAATGTATCGTTCAGAGCCACTGACCCGGCAACAGGCTGGCCTGGTCAAGACTCCAGGCACGAAGGAGCATCCTGCTCTCACGGGGACTTTTCCAGAAAGTTTCCATTGTTCAATAAATTCAGATTTTTAGGGACATTTATGAAAAATGACAGAACAAAAGTTACCGAAATACATTTGATAACAAGCAAAAAGCGATGGTCTTTTCTTGTTCTGTTTCCTTAGGGTGTATGTGTGGATGGAAGGGCAAAACCCCTCAGCCCTGAAGGGTGACAACCAAACAGGGAGATGCCTGGATGCCGGGAGAGGCTCTGGGTTGGGGGTGACAATAATAGCTGCATGTTGTCTGCTTCGACCCTCTCAACACCACATGGCGAGCAATATTTCTATTTCACAGAGGAGGGAATGGGCTCAGAGAGGTGAAGCCTCTTACCTGAGATCCTCTAGCCAGTAAGTGATTAAAACAAGACCTGGAGGTGGGATTAGCTGACTCTGGAACCTGTGCCCCTCACCCACTCTGCTGTTCTGCCTCCAGCTGTGTGTTATCCGCAGTGACCGAGCCAGTCCACCTTCCAGAGTCAGTGAGGCAGCCTGGCCAGGACAAAAGGCAACAGGCTACAATGAGAAAAAACGACATGCAAAACAGGTGGACTGTCTGTATTGATATAGCCTCTTCCCAGTAAAGAAAGCTTCTTGAAAAAATAAATTGAGATTACTCAGCACAGTTGACCTGAAGGACAGATGTGTGTTCTCGAGAGCTATTTTTATTGAGATGTAATCATTTAGTAACTCTTCCTTTGCCACTGATGGGCGGTACAGGAGGAACAGTCGCTCAGGGCCTCCTCTGCCAGCAAGGCAACCGAGAAACGCGCTCAGCTTCAGGTCAGAAACATTTACTGTGCAACTACTGTGTGTGGAGATGAAGGCATGAGTTGTCTCTCTGTCCCATGGCTCATCTATCTGTCCCAAGGCTCAGGCCTGGTGGTTGCTAAAAATGACTGTGAACATGGGTCTGTGTGGTTCAGAAAAGCAACAAAGATGACGTGGGAACAAATGGAACCAGGGTGAGTCCTGCGACTCCAGAATTGGTAACAAGGACCCAAGGCTGAGAGGAAATGAAAACCTTATGTTCTAAAGAGAGCCACGGGCAACACAGTCTGACCCTTCCCCGGGGCTTATAATGGGGAATAAGAGGCAGTCGGTGTAAGCAAAAGGCTGACGGGGCGCAGATGTCATCAGAGGCTCGGGCAGTTGCCTGGGTGGTGGGGAGGGAGTGTGATAACATTTCCCGTATCTCTCAGAAGCCAAGGGAAAGGGGTGCTCAGAGAATGGGGGTGTGTTCTGGGACTGCAGCAGTGGGGTGTTTCATTCTTACTGATCTGATTTCAAGCAGTCAAGGTTGCCCAGCAATATGATTTTGTTAATTAATAAAGTCAGTTTATAAAGGTTTATAAAATGAACTCATTGATGGCCCTGAAGTAGGAGGAGCTTTCCTTTCTAGAAGGAAGGGTCTCCCTTCATTAAAAGCTAGAGCAGCACAACCCAGAAGGACAGGAGGAAGGGCAGCCTTAACCCTGCCACAGGTTCCCTGGGCCACAGGTCAAGTCTCAGCTTATAGGAGAACAGGGAGGTGGCTAGAAGTTTTAAATCACGAAATGTGACCAGAAACCTAGTAAAGCTACCCAGGAAGTCACTGAGGAACCTGGCAGAGGTGGCTCACTGCGGCCTGGCTGCAGGCAGTGAGCTGTGAGACCACCACAGGCTTGTGCCCTGACAAGCTCAGGCTGTTCATAAAGCAGCTGGCAGGAGGCGGAGAGGAAGCTCAGCCAGGAGGCAGGCCGCTTGATGCCTCCTGGTGACACAAGTTGAATATGTCACCTGTGGTCTGGGCCTTTGGATACCTTAGCAAGTGGCCTCTCTGCCTGCCTATGTGCCTGGTGGGCAAGCTGTGTGCAGAGCAAAAGAGGTAAGTCTGCTTCGGCTGGCTCCTGGGAAGAGCAAACACTGGAGCAGGTCAAGGTTGGGGAGGAGGGAGGGAGGCAAAGAACAGTGGGGAGAGAGCAAGAGGCCTGGGAGTCTGCAAAATCAGTTGCGAGAATCATCCAAAAGGAGGGAGCGAAACAGCAATAAAGGCAGAAAAGAAGAAAAGTCAGGCCATAGATTCTGGAAGAGGGGAGAGGGGTGGGAGACAGAGTCTGGGTGGGGAGGCAGATGGAGTGTTACAGGGTGAGGAAGCACTCAGCTCTCTAACCGGGATCTCCCTGACAGCACTGCCTCTGTTTCATCTTGGTTTTAAAAAAGCCCGGAGCTCTACAGGTAGTTATGGCCCCTAAAGCTCTGCAAGGTCTGTGAGAAGCCTGCTGACTTCCCTTTAAGCCAGTTCTGAAAACCAATCCATTTGGAGGGAGATCAAGGCATCAAGATGGGGGCCCTTGTCTGGAAAAGGGGTTCTGGGATCACAGTCCAGAAACAGCATGGGATAGAAGGGATGGGATCTAATAAACACTGGTGGAAGTGGAAGGTGCACAGAGTTCACCCCCTCACCCCCACCCCGGGCCCGTGGAACCAAGGGAGAGAAACTGTTGCAGAAGAGGAAACGGGGTACAAAAATATTCCTTGAAGGGGGTGATTTTCCTGGACTTAGACTAGAAGTTACAGCGAGACAACCCAATCAGTCAGCCCTGCTGCATATGCCCCAGCCACAGGGGTCAATCGTAACTGCCACTAATCATGATCATCTTGTTCCCCTTTGTTAAGGTGACTGGTTTCAGGATGGACACATGGCCCTATTCTGGCCAACAAAAATATGAGGCCTGCTAGGAGTCTCTGGGAAAGATTTTCCTCTCCCTTCCTGGTTTGGAAGCTTTTATGTATGTGATACTTGGAGCTATACCAGCCATTTGGGGGCCACAAGGCCACACACTTGAAGAAGAAAGCTAGTAAGCTAAGGTGGCAGAGCAGGATGAAGGGCCCGGGGCCCTGGTGACCTTACTGAGCTGGGACTACCACCTCCCAACTCACTGTTAATAGACATGCTTATGTTTGGCTTGCTGTTGCCTAGTCTCTAACTTGCAGCCAAATGCATCTTTTTTCTTTTTTCTTTTTTTTTTTTCCAAATGCATCTTAACTGTAATGATAAGTCTATATCTGAGCACCCTATATTCTACTAGAATCTACCTAATGACATCTTTTCTTAATTTAAATTATTTTACAATCCTGGAATTTTAAAACTCTGACTATTTACTTTGTAGGAGCTATGAAATCTTAGTGTTCACTTTATCTATTATGCTTAGACTTGGGAGATTTCTTACGGTTCCAGTGAGTAGCTCTGGTGCCCAGATGCCGGGGCTCCCCTCACTGAGAAAGGGCCGTTTGACAGCTGACTGCTTGTGGCTGCATGGCAACAACATTACAAGGCAAAAAACAAACCTACTGGATGGGACCCTTTGAAGGTCAAGGACCATCGAAAATATTTATGCTTATTATGGGATCTTGATTGGCATGGAAACAAGAGAGGGTTGAATGGGTGAGGTGAGGCTCATGAGATGTTGTCCTGTGGAAGGGTACTTGGCCCTCCTCAGTGCTCTTGGAAACAGGAGCTCGATCCAGTCTTCTTGTCTTGGAGTCGCTATAAAGTACACAAAGCCCACATGATGATGGGATATGGGCTCCTGGATGCTAATTTACTACTAATGCATAACNACTAATGCGTAATGCACACAACTAGGGCTTGCTGCTTGTTGATGCCCTCCATTTCTGCCCCCTTTATAATAACCGTTTTCTTTAATTCTCTATGCTTATCTTTTTGATACCATAGATGTGTCCTTTAAAATAACTCCCTGTTTGTTTATCCTTGGAAAGCAATTAAATTATTTGCTGTCCAGTAGATGCGTGGATAAAAAAGCTGTGGGACATTTACACCGTGGAATACTATGCAGCTGTAAAAAAGAAGGATCTTTTATCCTTTGGAACAGCATGGAGAGACCTGGAGAGTGTTATGCTAAGTGAAATAAGCCAGTCAGAGAAAGACAAGTCCCACATGATCTCACTCATATGTGGAATGTAATAAACAAAATAAACTGCTGAACAAAAATAAATAAATAAATAAATAAATAAATAAATAAATAAATAAATTGCTGTGAGTCAAAAGGTCAACTGGAAAAGATGTAAGCAGGAAAGTTCCCTGCAGAATGAACTGAACAAACAAACCAGCAAGCTTGGGCACTGGTTGGGGTACCAGCAAGGCTCCTGCTGCTGCAAGTGGCCACATACCAGCCACGTGGTGAGAAATCAGACCAAGTTCTCTGAAATGAGAAACAGAAGAGGGCAGTGGAGGCATCACTTTTGACCTTAGGACCCAGTGATAACCTTCTAGGTATTACTCAAGAGGTTGAGATCATCCTTGTACACACAGAG